AAGACTCTATACCAGAAAATTCAATTGTTCTTCATCCGACAATAAGCGTCAAACTTTACTTTGAACTTCGTCCTATATTGCGGTTCACCGTTGACTTAATGGAAACAATTCCCTTTTCTACCTGATGAAATTCCAACAGCTATCTTTACTACATGAAATATACAATCTACTTGTTCATTCTATTTCATAAGATTGATTTATCCATGTGTTACTCTCCATTTTTATCTCAAGTTTTTATTTAAGAACTTTGTTTTCATTCAATTGTAGGTAAACAATACTGACGCTGGAGGAAGACTTACCCTTGCAGACGCTTTGATATATGCTTGCAATCAAGGTGTAGAGAAGGTACACTTAACCACATTTTCTTTGAATTTCTGTCTTCGGGGAGCACCAAGTATTTTATTCTCTTTTCACTTGTCCATGTACTCCAGAGCCGTGTTTCCATTCTGGAATGAGAACTCAAATTACATGTTTTTAGTATAAGATACATAAACCTCAAATGTATACATATTATTTGCATCTACCTTTGGGGAATACAAAAAAATTACTCTCTTTTCACCGTTTGTGCATTTTGTTTCCTCTAGAGCCTCAAAGTATAATGGAAGATGCATTAACTTCCAAGACCTATAAATTCTTTACTATGTTTTACATTTTTGTGTTGTATCTTGAGTCGTTCTTTTCTTTATTCACTTCGTGTTTTTGGGTCTTTAATGATCTTTTAGTTGCATGCAGATAGTTGATCTGGCTACATTGACTGGGGCCTGTGTAGTTGCTCTTGGACCCTCTATAGCGGGTGCGTGGTTTAACAGAGTTCTTTATTTTTCAGTAACTTGTGGTATGAAAACAATGTCGAAGATATCAGTATTAGAGAATTGCATTGTGATATATTAGGACCAAGAAGGATGAATCTTGAAGCAGATATGTGGAGGGAATGAGAATGTGTATACCTTTTACCTGCTTTCTTTAAGAACTACTCGTACTACTTTCTGCGAAGTTGAAATTCTTGAAATGTTCGAACAAAGAGATTCCTTGCAAAGATTTATTTACAATCTTCTTGGTATGTAAATCAGGTGTTTTTACACCCAGTGATGAGTTGGCACTAGAGGTACTTACGGCTTCAGAGATCACTGGGGAGAAACTTTGGAGGATGCCCATGGAGGAAAGTTATTGGGAGTCCATGAAATCAGGAGTGGCTGATATGGTGAACACTGGTGCTCATCAAGGTGATGCTATCAATGCTGCTCTTTTCTTGAAGCAGGTACGGCTTTTGTTTCCCTCTTACCGCCTCCCTTTAATAATAGAGATAGTATCCCATTTTTTCTGAACTTCTTTAATCGATCACTATGGAAACAGTAGACCGTCAGAATTACCACTCTCACCATAATGTGTTCACATTTATCCAAAGTCCAAATAAGCATCACAGGGCACCAGAGCTCTGCATCAATTGCTGAATGGACTACACTTCTCAATATCTTGATCCAAGCGGTAATTCCCTCCGTCATAGTTGGATCGCACTAATCCGCAAAATTTGCCCAATATATGTATCTTATGTAAAAACAAACTAGTTTGAAACAAGATCTCCATCACTGAGATGGACAGGAAAATAGATTGGAGCTGAATTTAACATGATACAATGTAGAAATGGAAACTGGATACGGCAAGATTTATATTGAAGCCTCTGATATCTGAAGCTCCCGTACTATTGCCGCATATTATTGTACATACAATAATAGAGGGGCTGTTTCTTGGATCGAGAAAAGGGAAATTCATATAACCAACTCTCCTGGTGTGAGTTGAGATTGGTTGAAATATGAGTACTTTAATCCTTAGTTAACGAAAGGTATCACTTATTTTCAACTTCAAATAGGTTATTTTGAAGTCGTGACCTCGTTTAATTATTCATCCCAACAAAAGTATTAAATATAATCACTCAAGTACGAAGGTCATTTTCTAAAATAGCCTCTACTCTGAATTCAACTATTCTAAATTAAAGTGTAACTAGCGTGGGAAGATCATGGTAGAGCTCAGGTTTCACTCACGTATTCTGGCTTTATTTTTGCCTCTAAATGCGTCGTGTTCTGGTCTCTGTACACATTTAATTTACATCTCTCTTTTATCTTATATATTGTTGAATGTGATTTATTACTCCTGCATGTTGGAATGTGCATTGGCATTACATGCTATTGTAATTCTTTAATCTAGTATCTTTTATGTTTCACTAAAGATAATTAGTAATCTGTAGTAAATGAGATATCTGACATATAATTGCTTTTTCTACAGTTCGTTGATAAGGAAGTTCAGTGGATGCATATTGATATGGTTGGCCCTGTTTGGAATTATAGAAGTGACAGCGCAACTGGATTTGGTGTTGCAACGCTTGTCGAATGGGTGCTATCCCACTCTCCCTTTGCTTTAATTTACATGCCTCACATAAAATGCAATATTATATAACCTGAAATAGACTCCAGGATATTATGGATAATTCTTGGGATGTGTGGAATGATATGAATAAGAACCCTGCTACATGTACATGGGATTTCGCCAAGGTTCATTGTCAGGGCCGCTCGTTTCATTGGCAGTTGACCAAAAAATAAAATAAAAACAACACATACAGTCTGGCAAAAAAAATTCTCTAAATAAAGTTGGTTTTGGAAGAAATGAAGCCATTTCATGTTTGTGGCTTCTTCAACATTCTTCTTTTACGTTTCAGTTGTCTTTCAATGTGATAATGCACGATGTGATCAAACGAAGTCTTGAAATTTAGTACGGTATAACACGAAGCAAGAAACAAACTGGCCAGTTTAAAGCAAAGATTCCAAGTGCCTTTCTAAGGTGATGAGCTAAAAAACAAGTGTCTGAGAGCAATTACTGACGGAACTTTTACAAGTGCACCTAAAACAGGTACTAATTCATACACACATGTTCTGTTGATAGAAAATAAGGTAACATCATCATCAAGGTGCTAGTTAGCAATTCAGGCATGGCGCCTCCTATCTTTCCTTGCCTGTAGTCCTCTGTTCACAAATCCTTTTTGTAAACAACTAACTGCCCATTGAACACTAGCTCACATCGGAATTCAATCCTAGAAATTTCTCTCAAGACACATTCCTGTTTCGCATTGGCTAGTAGCATTACTACTAAACAAGCTGCCAAAATAAAGATCAAAGTAACATGCTAAACATAAAATACCAGTGGAATTGTTTATGTATCCATCTTGCAAGTCCCGTACAAAGACACTAGAACACAGAGCACGGGAAACTTAGAGTAAGCTCATTATGCAACAAAAGGTTGGACTATGTGACTATTAACATTCTGAAAGAACTCGCAAACCAGTAAAAGTATTCATGGATACGAAAGATGTATATTAAGAGAAGCTGAAGAAAGCACTTGTGCAAAATGCGAGCAACACATAATGAAATGGCACAAGATTGATAGGCATTAGAATCCAGAGAAATATAAGAATCAAAATTGCATAAATTAAGACACATAAATATGAGTACTACAAAATCTCTCCACCATAAAAATAAAAGCAAAAGTTAGATAAAAAATTTTCTTCAGCAATGCCTTGGACCTCTAATTCACTAAACTGAATAGCTGAAGCTCGCATAATGTGTCTGAAGTTGATCAGTTTGTTAACTCTCTTTTCTTGCTTTTGGTATCTTTTAACTTTGTCATTCCATCCGTTGCCTCTTTCTTGTTCTCAATCTTTTTCAACCCATCTTTCTTCAGCTTCCCGCCCCCTCTATTTGATTTTGATTTCTTCATCTCCTTCTCCTCATTCAAGTCCCTTAATTCCCTTGCCTTCACTGCCCTTTTCTTCCTTTTATTTCCCCCAAGTTCATTACCATATAAATCATCATCAATAATGCTCTCACTTAAGTCTTCTTTCTCATTATTTTCCTCCATTAAATCCACTTCTTCCCCCTTATGTTCATTGTCATCCTCACTCACCGTCGCTTCATCCTCAACCTCATCCTCATCATTCACCATTTCATCTCGGAAGTCCATATATCGAACCTCGTGAATCCTTCCTTTCTTCTTCTTTTTCCCACCTTCCCCCTCCTTCCTTCCACTAACTTCATTCTCTTTATCCTTATTATCCACTACTTCTTCATCTTCCTTTTTACTCTCCCTTATCCCGTCAATTTTCAACTTCATGTCGGGCAATGCCTGGTAAATTGGCAATGCGACTGAATCAGAGAATTTTAGGTGCAAACTCCTCACACCATTCCACTTTTTCGGAACCTTCTCCGCCACCGCCTCAACCACGCTAACAACGTTTTCCACAATCTCCTCCTTCTCCATAGCCGCTTTCCCTACCCTCATTACACAACAAGTTCCGGTTCTCAAATACAACAGCGCACTCCCTAGAGACCTCTCCACTTGCGCATTCAAATTTTTCTTACTCAAATCTACACCCAAAGGCAACTTCTTTTTCTTGAAAAATTGTTTGCCTAACAACTTAGGCAGCAAATGCACAACCCTTTTATCAACCAAAAATAGGTCATAGCTATCGCAAAGCTTCCTCTTTGCCTCAAAAGGCTTGTAGTTGGTCTTCAGTTTGGATATTTTAAGCACCTTGGAGAGGGGTATATTCTGAGATTTGATCAATTTCTTGATGTCTTCCGAGGAAGGAGTGGGGGAGTGCTGCCTGTCGTCTATAATTAAGCAAAACTCGGATGTGGGGTCTAAGAGGGGATGTGGAATGGGAATTTTGAAGGGATTTGTGGGTGGGTTTGTTGGGATTTTCTTGAGCGTGAGGTTGAGGTAGATGTAGTCATCTTGAGGAAGAAGCTGCGGCTTTTCGGAAGCAGATTGCTTGGCCTTGTATTTTATCAGGGCATTGACAGCACTCTCTATGGATGAACGATCTACTTTCGAGCTGGAAGCGACGAATGGTGACAGAGAATCCATAATAGTTGCTGCAGAAAATTCAGGAGAAGGGGGAAGATGAAGGAGGCGGAAGAGGAGTGACCGCGTTAGGGTTAAATCGTTAGGGAAAAAATTTCAGGTACATGCCCCAAACAAAGAAAGAAATTTGATCGACCAAAATGTTATTCTCAAAATACTGAAAATTGAGGAAATATTTTAACAAAATAAATGGAAAGTCAAATTGTAAGTGAAATCAACTTAATAGTACAAAATAAATAAATAAGACAATTGATGAAATATTTTATTTATGAACATTAATCCATATACGATTTTGAATTCTGAATTATTATGTATTATATGTTACAATGGCTGTATCGCTAGTTAATTCAAAAAAATAAATAAATAAATAAATAAAAAATAAAAAATAGGATCATAATTTGATACATTGCTCGTGTAAATTTCATTCGAAAACTTGGGAAAATGTATTTGTCAATGTATTTGTTAGCGTGTTTTACTATGTAAGTTACTTTTTTTTTTTTGATAACCCAAGTGTCCCAACTTACCCGGACTAAATCCTGGACCTCTAGCCCCCGGCCCCTCAGTGACTAGTGGAGGTAAATCGCAGGTTGTGCCCTTGTTGGTTCCCAGGTTCCCACATGACTTTTTTTATTATACTAGTGGGTCGCACGTGCAAGGCACGTGTTATAGTATAGTTAAGTATGTAATAGCGTAGAGTGGTATTTGTTATTTTCTAGATACCAATAGTCAAATCTTATTTTGTAATGTTGATAATGGAGAAGGGAAAGAGAAGTTTTGATGGAATAATCAAATTGTGCAAAGTTTACTTTCGGCAACTTAAAAAAGATAGAGCTATGATGGAGGAATCAATTTGAAAAAGAATTCTATTAATGGTTCATAATAAAATGTTAACTAATAGACTAAAACAAATATTGTAAGAAGCAAATGAATGATGACCTATATGTTTCAGAAGATGCACTCTTTATATCATCATAGTCAAGTTAGAAGCTAAAGCATCATGAAACTTATTATACATTGTTGTTAAGCTCAAACTTCATGGAAGACTTTTCACACAAGTAGTATTTCAAAATAAAACAAAGTTACAAGCCAAAAGCCTCGCAAAGTTCTTGTTATCAGTACTATCAAATAAAACAAAGGTTTGGAGGTGGTTGTGGTAGAATCATTTAGATGGAAAGGACAAAATGAGCAAATAAGATTTTTATATTGTGGCATTGATGTTGTCTTCAAACTGGTATGATGATGATGAATGAAGTTTTCCTTTTGTTATGACTTGATCATCCATTAGATGAGCCATTATAATCATAAAAAGCTTCCTACACTCATAAAGATATTTAGAATGAATTATTGTGAGACAAAAATGTAGCAAAAAGAAAATTACATCACATCTAAACAATCATGCTGTGGTAGCTTACCAAGTCGGATACTATCTCATGGACTAAATTAATGTCATAACCAATTTCATTAAGATTAGATCTCACTCGTTTACCCGCATAATATTAGTAAGAGTATAAATAAAGAAAAATTTAATGGATTTTGCGCGACTAGGCAGGTATTGACCGGTAATTAGGGTCGATTAAATTGTCCTTTTGAAGTCCATTCTAAAATAGAACACAAAAGTAGCAAATGACACCATGGAAAAAAATGTCATTTAATAAATGTTAGTTAAAGAATCACCTCAATGTAATATCATGTTGAAATATAGAGTTTACACCTCTTCCAAAGTAATCATCACTAAATTAGAAAAAGTCTCCCAAAAGCAAAATATAATTTAAAAGAACAATCAAATATTTTAACAGAAAAGTCATTGTTGGTTTGAGCTATATCTTGTTCATTTTGTAACTATAAACAAAAGAGAAGTTTTCGTGAAGATATTTGATTGCTCCTTTAAATTATGGTAGACTTTTAGAAGAGTTCTTTCTAAACTTAGTGATAAATGCTTTGGAAATGGCTCAAACACTATTGCCAATATTTGACTCTCTAGATGTACCTGCAAAAAAAGTGGAGACACTAAGAGTGGGAATAAATAATTTTGTATATTGTTTATAAAATCACAAATCATAAAATTGTTTACTTACTTGAAATAATTTTAGCTAGAAGGTTGTCAAACTCCAAATGACGATGATGTAGCATTGCATGAAGTCCAAATGTAGGACATCAACATATAGGTTAATTATATGTAATTAAATCAAATTTCTGTTACAACCTATTCAAAATGAACAGAATCTACAAATTGGATGCGATCTTGAAATAAGAACATAAGCAAATTACAAGTCAAAATCCCAATGGATCTAGTTATATAGTGTTCATACATAAGAGAACATAACAGATGTTCCATAATAAGCAAACGTGAAAGCTACGAATGAAGATGTACAATTTATGTAATAGTCCCATCAGTGCGACACACTTTGTAAACCACGAACATTGGGATTTCATCGTCTATAAGTTCAAATACACATGTTTCACGTATTTGAAACCGTTTCTCCCTAACATAATCTGCCCAATCTACGGTGAAATGTCATACATAACCATTGGTTCTTAGATTCGTTTGCACTAACCAATTATAATGTGAACTATCATGGATTTGAACACTCTGTACAAATTTTGGTAGATACAATCGAGCGAAGGCTCTAGGTACATACTACAAAATAGAATGACAAATCTATAAGTCGTGAAATTTCAAATTAGATGAGAAAAACAAATATGAAAATTGTTCATACGTGTAATTTGAGAAAGATAAAGATAAAAGAGATTCAAGTGAAAGAGGAGCTCACAATTATTCTATAACCATCGCGAGCAGCCTCTAATATTACTCGGAAAATAGGATTACCACTATGTGAAAGCTCTACCTCAAATCCCTCAGACTAATACGTCACTTCTACGCCTGAATGGTCAAATATCGAAACATCGAAAGTAGAATTTCCTTGGTATTCAAAGACAATAACATAACCATTTTGCAAATTATGGTGGTTAAAAAACTGTGGCCGTCCAGCAGCAAGATATATGTTATCATCAACTCTTTCGAGTTGTATGCTACGGATAATGTCATCATAACCAATCAAACGTACTGCATGAGTAAGATCGTGTCCCAAGCGTTGTACAAAAGTTCTCGGTGTCGACTATAAAAAAATATAAGTCTTATAAGGAATATTATTTACTTTATATTTAGTTTTAGAACTCACCAAACGAATATTATGGCCCAATAAATAAATGCTAACAAAGAGATCATTTTAGAACTCGCCAGACGATCGTTATGGCCCAATGAACTTGCAATAATTGTAAAGAAATGGTGTGGTAGATCAACCCTGTTTGACATAATATTTATACTACAGAGACAATTGATAAATATATACATTAAATGTTCAACAATAATCGAAAGCCCTTATTTGTTCAAGAAAAAAGCACCATAAAAGAGACAATTATCAACAAAATTGAAACATGATATTTTATAGAAATTATGTGCTACCTTACCTTTTAGCATGCTATTGACTTGAAGATTGATCATTTTGATTAAGAAGTTCATTTTTCCCTTAACTTGGCTCTAGGATGTCAAGATTTTTTTTTATCAGTTCATAATTACTATTGCATTATCGAGTAACTGATGATGTGCAGTTGTTTTGCTTTTCTGGATATTAGTACATGATACCAATTCTACTAAAAGTTTCAAGTATTTATTTCAACCAAATAGTATTTTTCTCAATCGAAGGCTATCTTATTCATGTAACAATTTATTGTTGAAATGTTTTAAGGACTTCAATTCTGTGATACTATTGTAATTATCCAATAGAAAAATTTTCATTTTTATTGCTACATTTAAATAGATCTTAGGTTGAATAATATCAATTTTTTTGTCTATTCTTCCAATACGAAGGATGAAGAGAAAAAAGGGAACATTTAGTCGAAAGAGTATTGAATGGGAAAATTTACTAGTTGGCTAATAAGTTTTACTATCTGTATTAAGAATATTAGCAAGACCTATTATGCTAAACATAAATGGTAAAAATGTGGAGAAAAAGCCATTAGAAGCTAATGAGAAATAGAGTTACCTCCATGAAATTTTAGTAGCAATAGATTAAGAAAATAATGATTAAGAAAAATAGAAAGAGATAATTAATAATTGGTAGTAGTCCCTTAATAAAAAAAAGAGGGACAAAAAGAGTAGTAAATTAAACTGACCATCAAAAAACATAATTTATCAAGACCCAATATATAATAAAGAAGGCTTAAATAAAAAAAAATTAAAATTACCTACAAAAAAAGTAATTCAATTACAATAATGGAAAAGACAATGGTCCCCATCTTATTTCATGATTATAAAATCTACACCTCCTAACTTATAAGTCCAGATAATCCCTATATTTTCACTAAATTTCTAACAATAAATTACACGTACAGTTTAATGTTCGACCCCTTTTGTACTTCTATTTTCAACATTTTATACTTGGTATTTTAAATCTTAGAAAATAGTCTTCTTCTCACACCCCTTCCCCATCTACAATATGTGCTTTGAGAGTCACATAAGAATGAACAAGAAAACTGTATAATTGAAAACCCCATCTACCATATGTGCTTTCAGTAGAGAGATTATTTTTATTAATTAAAATTTGACATGACATTACAGTAAGTATTACAATTAAAGTTACTTTTTTTTACTTTGAAATAAGAGAAATGTTGCTCATTCAAACATGATTGAAAATAAAAAAATCACTTAAAAGTAACTTTTACTTATGTTTAAGCACAGCTGAATGTGCTTTAATTTGCTGTACAATCTCAACTTTGAACAAATATCTCAAGCTTTATTTTCTTGTAAAATGATGGAATTCTCACTATACCAAGTAGCATTTAATTAAGCTCTTGAAAGTCCGAATTATGGAGCATAAAGTAGAATTATTTCTGAAGAAACACGGAACAATAAGCCTTGGCAGTGATAAGAGCCAAGTCTATTAAATAAGTTCTTCAGAAGAAAAGAATAATTTATCTTTGGGAAGACATAGGAGCTGAAGCATTCACGCTTACTGTCAAATAGTACTTAGCTTTTGGTGTTGAATTCTTATTGGTATGGCAAACATGTCTGATGTCTCACCTTACTTATAAGTTTATTTATCGGGCAAGCAAGCTAGAGTTTGTTTAGGAGAGATTTCCTTCTTAAAAATCATTTTTTCCCAAAACAACTTATGGGATCCATAATTTTTTTCCTACTTTTTAATTACGTAATCTTCAAAAAAATAAAAAAAATAAAAATCATTTTCCACCTAAAAAAAATCTCCCAACAAATGATTAATTTAAAACAAATTGTTGGTCAAAACCGAAATAAGAAATTTATTATAATATGATGTACTAAAAGTTGTTTTAATAATAAGAGGATTCTAATCATTTTCTTAAGAATGTAACTTTCTTTTTTCACTTAACCGAGATATATACATGCTTCCACACAATTAAAAGGTACAAACTTCAGTAAAATATAATCATGTAAAGAGGAAAAAATTAAATCGAAGTGTGTATCAACAAAAGTTACACCAGCAAATACGACGCACTCTATTGGTGACATTGAATAATAACATACTAAACGAAAAAGGATCAAAAAACCATCATGTGAACCATATTTAAACATTTTATTATTTTTTATCAATCCACGACGATGAATATATGAAAAAAATTATATCCATATACAAAGTAGCTTATAGAATAGTTAACTAAATCACAAATATGTGTACAGAAAATCGAAATATGAACTCAACCACTACATTCACATAAATATAGAAAATTAAAGGAAAAAACTTAAGGAAAGCGTACAATGAACTCATCTAATGTGAAGATCAAACTCAGAGGAACAAAAAGGAAGTCTAAAATAGGCATTCCATCAAAATAATAGACTTTAGGTAGTTAGAATTCAATTTTACAAGAGAAGGTAAAAAAATTGGCGTTAAACTCATGCTTAACAAGAAAAAACATATTTACAGGTCATTTGAAAGAAATCAAAAGCACATACACAACATCATAAACTCTTTAAGAGTCCCTAAAGCATAATTATACATATTTGGGGGACAAAACTTACCGGCTGAAAAAGGAAGTTCATATTGAAAACCACATTTGAAGAAACTGAAAAACAAATTCACAGTGACCTAACGATCCCTTAAACATTACTGCACGTATTTTGGGGATGACTCCTTCAAAGATGAAATCAAGAAAAAAAAAAAGGAAAAAAAACCCCGAAAACAACATAAATTAAACAATGCGACTCCAAAATTTGAAAAATAATAAATTGATATACGAAAAAAATAAGAGATTGAAGCACTGATGACTAAACTAATAGATATATGACCCAATTCCTCCAAGATCCGTGAAAATTGCAGAATCCAGTTCCTCCAATCCGCTTGAAAATCGATTCTTCAAAATGCGTAGAAAAATGACGGTGAGAAGATAGTTGGAAGAGTGAAAGAGAGATATACGAAAAAAAAAAGAGATCGAAGCACTGATGACTAAACTTACAGATATATGACCCAGTTCCTCCAAGATCCGTGAAAATTGAAGAACCCAATTCCTCCAAGATCCGTGAAAATTGATTCTTCAAAATATGCAAAGAAATGACGGTGAGAAGAGTGGAAGAAAGTGAAAGAGATAAGTTGGAAGAAAGAGAAATGACGGTGAGAAGAGATAATAAGTTGGAAGAAGAGTGAAAAAGATAAGGTAGGACACAGCTGTGAAGAGATGGGGAGACAAAAAAAATACCTGACACATTTACATTAATTGCTGAAAACTGATAAGGCTGTGTCAAAAAAATTAAAAATTAAAAACAAAAAAAATCGGATGAACAGTCCCTCCTTTATTTTATTGGGAAAAATAAGATAAATTTATTCGACAATGTGCCACGTGTTCTGATACCTACCTTGCATAGCATTAGTGTATGTTATACAAATAATAGTTATAACATAGTTTACTTACATCAGTTACAAATTACTTTGTGTGTGCATATTTGCATAATGACTAATGCACATGGTGCTATATTATATGATATATGGATTATATAATTTATTATTAGTTGTGGTACAAAGATAATCCCAAAAGAATGTAACTACAGTATGGGCAAAGTTGAGATTATCGGGAAAGGAATATTATAACATTACAATATAAAAGTGGAAATAGTCATTAGATTGCACGAACCAAGCTGTGGTCGTGTGATTGGGATTTACTTGTATTTGATCATTTTTATCACGCTCCACAATGAATTGCGGACCACTAGACCAAGGCGAGGGAAGCAATGGATTAAGGTATAAATTTCATGTAACACATGAAAAATTTTAGTACAGATTATAAGTTGTTTTCTAGTTATAAATGTAGGAGCAACGAGTACGGTATTGGTGTTGGGGATCGTCACAAGAAAGCAGATAGAATTTTTCTACTGGCCACTCGGATGGTCGCTTGGTAATGCTGACCAACAACAGTTGCTACATTGTATTAATTGTTAGTTGAACTTCATATCCAAGGAAGGATTTGTACTTCTGGATAAAAGCATGGTCTGGTCATGGTCGGATAGTGGGACTCCCATAATAGGAGCAAATGGCTAGGACAAGATAGCTATAAGAGACACTAATTCTGTGTGGAGTTATCGAATATGAAGATTTTGGGTTCATGGATTTGAGGTTTGCTGCTAGAAGTGTAAGACTGAGCTCAAGAAATCGGCTAATGAAGGGGAAAATGCCCGATCTTCAGTGTTATCCTAAATTGGTATTGCAGCTATTTTCATCCATGAATGATAGTATACCAGTGTTTTGTGGTTCTGATCGGGTTTGACATCAAGATCACGAAAAACTTGAGATGGTTCTATTTGTGATTTTTCAGTTGGAGGCAATAGGCTCTTCACCATTGGTTTTAAGATTCTGAACACTGCAGAGAAAATCTTGAACCATAATTATAGTACAAAATTAAATCTCTTATCCAAATTTGTTTTTTCAAGAGTTCGCTTGAGAAGACTCGTGAAACGCATAGCCATGGCAACCTGTATTAAGCCTTCAATGAACTTTCCTCTATTGATATGTAATTCTTTAAAATAAAGAATGTTTAAACATGTAATATAGAGTTAAAAACATCGATACATGGTACACTTGAAAGGCACATCACTAAATCAAGCATAATCTGGCATTACTTTTTTAAGGAATGTGATTGGTTGTGAATCTTTGGGTGCTAGTTCATCGAAAGCAACATAATTTTGCTCCTTGTCGTAAACATGGCAAATTGTCAGTATTGTCTTCATCAATCGCCAGTTCCATGTAGCCTCGTTCATGTACTGTAGCAGCATCGTCAACAAATAGAGAAAAATAGTTCAGTTTGGGACATTAACTTGATCGAGCAACAAACACAAGCATCTGATAATTGTAGATATGTTAGTAATACACAGATCACAAACGGATCCTACCTTTCCCCAGTTTTCTTGGAGAGATTTATGAGCTGCCCGCAAATTATAGCTTGGTATTCGGGATGAAATGTGATGGGGTATGTGAACATTGATGTCATGGCAGAGAATCTCTATCCTGTTGAAGAAACAAGAGATTTCATTATTAACAAGCAAAAATTAATCAGTATCGTTAATTTTATTAGGCTACAGTACTAGATAATTTTTTGCAGCACGTTTTCATTGAATAGATCAAAATGATCTCTTCTCATGTACAAGCAACACGGTCTATGGTTTCTTGACATATTGAAATCCCCGACAAATTAAAATATCGCCACTTAAGGATGTGTTGAAGGTTGAGGGGAAGGAGGTTGAAATGTAAAAACAAAAACTTGAAAGTAAATAGAAAAGAACAGATATTTGAAGAACACTAGAGATATAACGTGAGTGTGAGACCACGTCCCGGAAACACTAGAAAAGCATATAAGAACCAAAAGATAGTTGTGAAACGCTATTTATATTTGTTTGTCGTTACTATATATGGATTATTATTACCAGTTTAATGAATCAGAAAACATGAAATATTACCAATGCGGATAATCACAATGAACCGTGCCATTAAGTTGGGCCTGGGCAGCATTCCACTCATCTGAAGATTTAAAGGGTATGTGTGGAGCCGTATGATGAACCATTGTAAAAGTACTCATCTGTAAATTCCAAACAAGAAGAAAATGTCATAGTTGCATGTCAGAAGTAGTCATATTTATGCCAATAATGGATAAAATTGATCAGGGGGACCCACTTCTGGCTAGCAAAGAAAGATACTTCTAATATAAAAAAATGCTCAGAGAATGTAAATGAGATCTGAAGATATCAGAACAGACAAAAAAGGAAAAGGATTCAGGTGGGAAGATATTCTCTGAATGAAATCCTTTTTCATGTTCAGTGGTGCCACAATGTGAAAGGAGCTGCTAATATTCAGAACTGACTCAGTAGGTTAGGCCAGAACTCTATATTGATCTTGTTCCTTTTACTAATCAGAGTTGAACTGGGCCTGACCACTATCAAGTGTGCGTGTCTCCAAAATCTTCCATAATGAAGTAAGAAAGTTATAGACAAATTAAAGATGCAGTTCCGAGGGCCAAAAGCTTGTTGATGATCAAGGTCAGGTTTAACAATTTGCAGAGGCAGTCTTCAGGTAACCTAGTGCAATTATCGTCCTGTACCCAAGTTTAGTTCTCCCCCACCCACAAGAATATCTTACTGGATCAGCCTGTGCTTGGTCGAGCCTATTATGTTGTTTACTTGCCTAACATCTTTAATATTCTTTCTTATAGACCACTACTTTCAGATTATCATCAAATTAAGTACTAGCAAAATGTTGGGCAGACCGTTTTCCAGGATAACATGGGAAGTAAAGAAAAAATCATTACCCAAAAGTGATAACCTAACCACGGCATCAACCAGAATTTGATCCATCCCATGATCCCAGTCTTTAGGATTATCAGTGGCCATCCAATTGCAATGAAAGCAGACACACAAGCCAAACTTATCTTTACTCTCTTAACTTCATTCGATCTGAACTTCTTCAAATCAAAGTGCCACATCAGCCTAACAGGATATTTTATGACGTCAGAAAATTTGCAAGTCAATCAGTTATACTGAACTCCAGGGATTTGGAAAATCTAAATTAACATAAATATGATTTATTTATTACCAGTGTGCTATAGACATCAATGGTCGAAATGGGCCATATCCATATATAATTGCCTTCCTCAAAATTGGAGAAGACTCAAATTCTTCTAGCCATACAGGGTGCCAGGCCGTATCCTCTGACAACCTATAAATCAGGTGAATAAGAAGGTTAAATATTGGAGTAGAAGCAAAGGAATTGAAATTATATTTGCTACATTTAAAAGGTTGAACGGTATTATTCTAACGGCTCAATTTTTTTATAAGCAAATAAAGTCAGATAAGAGGACAGCGGTTTTGTATCGGAAACAAGAACACAAACTGAACATTCATGATATCAAAATGCAGTCAATTATGAATGTCAAAGTTCTCATGTTATTAAGATAAATGGAAAACAAATTGACCATCCCTTCTACAATGACCAAGAAGGATTGGAAAGAGAAAGAGAAATTATGCGTAACCGCGATGAATGGAATAAGAATAGCAAAATCACACATAATAATGTCATAAAAGAGTTTCATATATAAATAAAAACAGTCAATGAGGTTGAACAGTAAAAACGAATCCCAAATATAGTAACGTAGTACTCCAATCTCTGATATTGGACAAAAATTTAACTAATGTGAAGTTGGAGAGAAGAACAATACAAGTTATCTCGAGCAAGTTATGCACCTAATCTAAAAGCTATACTCACTAGCAGAAGGGGAACTTTTCATTCATATTTTCAACCCCCAACCCCGACAAAAATAAAAAGTATCTGCTGGTGCAACTCTTCATTTTTCATTATTAAAGCATGGGCCAAGAATGGTCAGATTGCCCTGAGATTTGAAGTTTGGACATTGGCTTGCTCCAATACTAAATCAAAACACCACGTTGTCGAAAAAGATAAAAGTGACAGAAAGGAATATAATTGAAAACATTATCTAAATAATAATGTCAGATTTAGTGCCAGCTCCATTCCATAGGCCACTGCCTACAATCACAATTCATATAAGTTTGATCCGAAGCATATCAGCAAAAGAAGCAAACAAGAAGCCTCTATTAAAAAATGGTATAAAGCAAGATGTAAATAGAAAACAACAACAAAAAATACACTGTCATCAACACCTGTAAGATGAAGTAGCGTACAGAATTTTATTTACTTAGAAAAATATAAATATGTTTAGGAACATCATGCATACATATTTGTTTTTGCGTGGTGCCGATCATGCTTAAATCGCCAGGGCTCATATGGGTATATCAATGGAAGGAAGGCCAGAGTTCCAACGATGTCTTCCACCAATTTGTTTCTTGAGAATGACTTGTGGGCACAATCATGTCCTATGACAAAGAACTTCAAATAGAGGGAAAATGGAAATGGAAACAGAAAAGTTAACATGATATGTATCTACGGGAAATAAATTAAATGAAGTTATATCCTCATTTGATACTCAGAAACTAGGAGGGAAAGTGACAGCTATATATTTTTCTTCCATTCCAATGTGGAAATTTTGGCAGCTGTATGTAGGGAAGGGGGTACTACTGTGAGCCAACATTTCATTAATGGATTCCATGCTTTTCCTTTCTGCTTATTTCCCCTCATAGTTTCCAAGGGCCAACCAGGCACAGCTAATATAATATACAAGAAAGATAAATAGAGAACGAACCCCTGTGATTGCAGTTCCTGTAAAAGCCCAAGCTAGAGGAAGAAGATACCATGGTGCTTTGGCAATCATGAAGATCCCCAATGCATAAGAAGTCACGGATATGAGTACAGACTTCCAAGCTTTTACATCATCTATCTCGAAGACCTTTAGAAAATATCAATGAAAAAATCAGGAACATCACTAGCTTAATTGCTGCAGTAAATAGCATGAGATTTCTTTTATTCATTTATTCCCAGTCAAGGCTAAGTCGACTTAAGCCTGTTTCATAAGCAAAGGAAATGGTTCCCACCATTAGACTATCCTGAGGGTCTCAGAATGGAGTGAACAAACAATATTAGATTTACAGTTTAAAGCCTTGTAAATGACAAAAAGTAGCATTGAGTTGCATTTCGTTGAGCCAGACTCAATGTTGTTGAAATGTGGATGTTGTTTTGTATCAGTTACAAGAGTTATACCCCCACAGTTTCAAAAAGTACTTGCCGAAATGGTTAAAAGTACTAGATTGAAAAACCAAACAATCTAGGTTAGGTGTTTTACTAGCTACTGGTATGCATTGTTAACAATCAGCAGTATTAATCAGCATTCAAATATATCTTCACAGTAACGAGACAAAAGAATTTTCCTTATATAGTCATAGATCATGTAAAACTGGAATTTTCATAAGATGGGATCGTTGTTCGTCAACATTTCATGCATAAGCACTTGTAAAATAACATCTTTGAGTAAAACAAACACAATAAATTTTCTTTAAAAGAATTAAATGGTTTAAACTAATCAGGAGCCTCAATGAATAATGGAAATTTTCATGGAAAGCATGGTATGCCCTCTATTTTCATTTTTTTCATTGGCAACCACACATACTCGTTTATTTTCTCGTTTAAGTAAACAGAGGCATAACGAGACATGTAAGGCACAGACATTGATGAAATCGTTTCTTCTTTTGCCTTTGGCAGTTAAATTTTCTCATTATTCCTTTCTCCCTTTTTTAACGTTTGTATTAAATTTTGCTCTCGCTCTAGGAACTAGCTCTACAAAACGAACTCAATAAAAAATAAGCTATTGTTTGAGCTCCATTTTGAAGAGAGAATATATTTTTGAATGGTGAATTTTGGAGAATGTGTGGTTAGAAAGTAAGAAAAAGTTTTTGATTTACGTGTAGAATTATTTTATTAGAGAATATATGGTTGAAAATGAGTTTTGAAAAAATGGGGCTCAAACAAGGGCTAAGTTTATTGATTCGTATATTATTTTTCTAGGGGATGGCTATCTTGTCCTAGTTGTGTATGCTTATTATTGGTCATCCATAAAGATACAAAGTAATCCTCCACTTAGAAAAGCGTTACTATCAGGTTCCGCACTTCAAAATGAACAAACTTAATATAAAAAAACAGAAATTTTTATACAGTCGATAAACTGCTTCTGTAGAAAGGCTCTCTAAATAACCCTGTTTAAGTGTAAATATGCTACTTAAAAAGTGAAGCACTTGTATGACAATAATTCTCATTTACTATATAAATCGTCTTTTTGTGTGCTCCAGAAATTAATGAAAATGATAAACAAATGGCTATAATATGAATAGCTTTCTTGTTAATATGCAGCGCAGCAGAGGAGATTTCCAACATAAATGAAAAATAACACCACTACTACCACATCAGCAATTCCAACAATGAAAATCTCCATGTCCTTGGTAGGAAATCCATAAGTTTTGCACTTGCTAGTTATGATAAATCTTATCTAGAATTCCCTACGTGAGCTATCCAGGACAGAACATTAAACAGGAAAAGATTTTCGGTGCATAGAAATGCTAGGTAAAATTACCTTTCTTGGAAGTGTATCAACTATATCTTTCAAAGTGACATTATCTGGAAGAGGTTCTCCAATTTGCCTAAAACCATAGTTTTCACTCAATTGTTTTCTGTCCTCTGCATTATCTGCTGGAGATGATGGCACTGATACCGCCACAGCTTTTACGATTTTATTCTTTCTCGAGTATACAAGACAATTTTTTTGTTCACTTCTTTTGTGGGGTCCACTTTCCAACTTCAAAAGATATCTCCCTGTCCATCAAAACTTATCATTCAAGATATGTCTAGAGAATTGAAAGACCAAATGCATTGTTATTCTACTTTATCAGGGTGGTGGGAACTATACATTATGGCACAATTCGAAAAAATGATAAATGGATAATTACAATGAAAACCTTGACCACAATCTATGAGTTAAAGTATCAGCTCAATCATGAATTTTTAAAAGGTTTCTACAAATAATATATTAGCAGAAAATTAGCACCAACGGTTAATGTTATATTTAAAACTGATGAATACAAGAATTATATCAGGAGATAATGAGAATCCTTAAAGAAGTGAATTTACAAATACTATAGGAAATAAAACTTAAGAATTACAAGAATTATATCAGGAGATAATGAGAATCCTTAAAGAAGTGAATTTACAAATACTATAGGAAATAAAACTTAAGAATTACAAGAATTATATCAGGAGATAATGAGAATCCTTAAAGAAGTGAATTTACAAATACTATAGGAAATAAAACTTAAGAATTACAAGAATTATATCAGGAGATAATGAGAATCCTTAAAGAAGTGAATTTCTAAATATTATAGGAAATAAAACTTAAGAATTATCATCCGAAGTTCCACAGGCCTTAAGAATTTTCTCTCAAACAGAAAAAGCAAATAATATATAAAGTAAAATCACGTCAAATTGAATTGTAGAAAACGTAGTCTTAAAGTTTGTATTCTGAAATTTTGAAGAGCACTTCAATTACTCTATTTTTTCATCCTTGTCTCCCCTTTAGCCTTAAAAGTTCAGACATTTAATAGAGCATAACACTCGAGACTACCCTGTTCAAGAATGTCACTGAAACCAATTTATTCAAGCAAATTCCATATGGTTCTGAAGGACTAATAGACAACAGTCGTACAGTAACATGCAAAATCTTGAGTTCCATTAACCCACATTAATAACTGAAATTGCCAGATAGAAGTTCGTCCATTAACCCACACTAATAACCGAAATTACCATATGGAAGCTCAACTCAGTTTGTAAAATTGCACTAGAAAAAGAACTCATAAGTTAAATTCAATCCTCAAGCCAACATTTTGAACAGAAAAACAGCGAAAATGTACCTGAACAAATAAAATTCTGGGGCGAAATTCTA